GAACTCATGTTCTCTATGCTCGGTATGCTCCGTAAACAAATTAATGAGTGCTCCCATATGGTTGACGCTATTGAGACCAGGCATCGACGAAAGGCTCTCCTTTTCTTGGGTGTTGCTGAAGAGGAGAAGGAGGACTGCAAGGCTACAGTGCTAAGTATAATCCACAAAATGGAGTTGAAGGACATCACAGCATCTTGCATTAGTGTCTGCCACAGGATTGGAGTAGCCACCAAAAATCGTATCCGGCCAATCCTTTCTTAGCGTTGACTTCAGGTCATCAGTATGGAGGGCGAAGTCTAGACTGAAAGGTTGTCCAGTTTCAGTAAAGGAGTTCTTGACAAAGTCTCGGCAAACTGTTTTTGGCAAAGCCCGTCAGCATTTCGGCATGCGTGCATGCTGGACCCAAGATGGAGTAATTGTGGTGAAAGTTGCAGATGGATCCCGCCATAAAGTCACTACCTTAGATGAGCTGACTACTCTTACGCAAAAACACCCTAAGGCGACTGCTGAATCCTCAACTGGAGGCGAGCGCATTGCAGGAAGCAATTCTAAGCCACGTAAATAACTACGCAGTATTGCGTTTTATTGTCTTAATTCTCCTTTTTCCTTTTACTACAACTTTAAATTTATTCAATATTGCAGAATTACTTAGTATAATTTATTATTACTTTTTATGCACAGTATTAAACCTTGTTTTGCTTTTATGTAACCTTAAGCTTCTTTCTTTTTCATTTATTTACATTTTTTTTAATTAGTTAATTTCTAATTTTAATATAGTTTTTCGTTTTACATCATTTATTAAAACTTGTATATTTTCACACATACATTTAGGTACATTTTAGGTTAAGTTCTACTTTATTTTGTTAAGTTGTTTTGCTTTTGGTTATATTTTGTCCATAGATTAATAGATTCGTAACAAGTGCATAGTGCAAGTTAACTTTCAGTCGCTGGGAAGGTTTTTTTTTATTAATACATGATCATGGATACAAAGTCCTTTGGACATAGTATATTTGTCGTCTATAAGACACTTCTCTATGATACTTTTTATTTGTTCTAAGTTTTGCTATTTATTATTAGTAATCTTAACGTAGTTTAGTTGTAGTTGTCTTGCAAATCATTTTTATTTTTACTGTTTTGTGTATTATATTTGTCTTTTGATTTTTGAGTGTGTTAGCTGGCGGGTGGTGCAGGGATGGCAGTTTAGCAATCGAAATTATTACTATTTTTATTTACGTTATATAATTTTAATTATACTAATTTATTTATTCTTATAGTTTAGGTCTATTTATTTATTTATTTTTATATATTCTATTACATATAGATGAGTTCCGATGATGATTCTTTTCTTTCTGCCAACGAGTTTTTTTCATCAAATGACAGTTATTGCTCTATTACTGAAACGTTAGGGGATTTTGTGCGACATAAATTCGATGAATCCCGCTCTTTGTTTAATGTTTGCCACATTAATGCACAGAGCGTACCTAGTCATTACAGTGATCTGATTGAGGCTTTCTCTGACGCTGATGTTCATGCCGTCTTGATTTCGGAGACTTGGCTTAAGCCCCATCTTCCTTCTACCTCTTACCCTCTCTCTGGCTTCAGTTTGATACGCAACGATCGAATTGATAGGAGAGGGGGTGGGGTCGCTATATATCTTCGTTCTGACTTTTCTTATAAAATTCTAGCTTCTTCTTCCCCCCTATTATACTGCATCTGCAGAATTTCTTTTCCTTGAAGTTTGCGTAAAAGGAGCCAAATTAGTACTTGGCGTTGTCTACTGTCCTCCTTCTGTCGATTACTTCTCCAGTCTTGAAACAATTCTGGAATCCTTGGGGTCGGAATACTCACATCACGTCATCATGGGCGATTTTAATACAGATCTCCTCACTCCGCACTTAACCCGTTCCTCTAAGCTCCTTCAAATTGTCGAGTCGGTTGGCCTCCACATTTTACCTTTACAAGCCACTCACCACAATATTGATGTGGAGGATACCTGGCTTGACTTAATCCTTACCTCTGCTCCTTCTCTTGTCTTCTGCCACGGTCAACACTTTGCACCTGCTTTCTCCTATCATGACCTCATTTTCCTTTCTTACGTTCTTAAACCTCCTAAACCTCCAGCTAAAACTCTACACATGCGTTGTTTTGGTCGCTTGGATGTTGAAAAGCTTTGTGTGGATGCATCCAAAATAAACTGGAACAGCGTAATTTCTGCACCCACTGTGGATGAAAAAGTTGGGGCTTTGAATGAAGCTATCCTTAAATTATATGACGTACATGCTCCCATCAAAAAAGTGAAGCTCAAGCGTCCACCTGCGCCTTGGATGACGATTGGGGTTCGGATTGCGATGAGACGTAGGGATCGCGCTTTCGGCAAATTTAGAAGAGATCGATGTGATCAAAACTGGACGCTTTATAAAGTTGCAAGAAATCGGTGCAATCAGATGATACGCAACGCCAAACGCCAATTTATTCTTAGTAACATCTCATCTTCTTCCCCTGCTAATATCTGGAAGTTCCTTGGAACCATAGGTATCGGTAAACGACACCGTTGTGAGTTTCAAAGGACGATTGGTGTGGATGATATCAATTTTCATTTTGTCTCCAACAGTCCTCTTGATCACCAGACCAAGCGTCTTACTGTTGAACACTTAATGGGTTTACCTCGTCCTGATATTAATCTGTTTCAATTTTCTCCAGTAGCTGTAGATGAGATCAAGAAGATAATCCTTTCCATTAAATCTAATGCTGTAGGTTACGACAACATCAGCCGACGGATGATTATCTATATACTTGACCATATCCTCCCAGTCATCTCGCACATCATTAACTTCTCCTTGGATTCTGGTAATTGTCCCTCACTGTGGCGTAAGGCTTACGTTATTCCCTTACAAAAGATCCCAAATCCCACTTTACCCAATCATTTCCGACCTATATCCATCCTTCCCTTCTTATCCAAGGTCCTTGAGGCCTGTGTCCACAAGCAACTTTCGCAGTTTATCTCTCGTAATAACTTATTAAGTCCCTTGCAGTCTGGCTTTAGGCCCGGTCATAGTACCGTTTCCGCACTCCTGAAAGTAATTGGTGATATTAGGGCAGGCATAGAGGACACTAAAGTCACTGTGTTGGTTTTGGTTGACTTCTCGAACGCCTTTAATACCATTAGTTATGACATTCTAATTTCCATCCTTTCCCTTTCTATGATCTCACCCGAAGCACTGGATTGGTTTTCATCATATCTTCGAGGGCGCCAGCAGTCGGTTCGCATCGATGAGCTATCATCTAGCTGGCTTGACATACATGCTGGTGTCCCTCAAGGCGGCATATTATCTCCTTTGTTGTTTTCTATATTTATTAATCTCATTACTCAAAACCTTCAGTCTGCGTATCATCTGTATGCTGATGACTTGCAATTGTACACACAAGCGAGTATTGACGATATTTCTACAGCGGTGGACACACTTAACAGGGACCTTGAGTACATTAAGAACTGGTCTGAAAGGTTTGGCCTAATGGTCAACCCTTCGAAGTGTCAGGCCATAATAATTGGTAGCCGTCCGATGATCCAGAGATTGAAAACAGTAGCTCTACCTCCTATCTTTTTTAATAGTACTGAGATTCAATTGTGTTCCACTGTGAAGGACCTAGGTTTATTAATTGATTCTACTTTGAGTTGGAAAGCCCAAACAACGACCGTTAGCCAGAAAGTCACTGGTACCCTGCGTTCTCTCTATCGCCTAAAAAAATTTTCTACCATCTGAAATTAAGACAATGGTTGGGCAAAGTTTAATTTTCCCCTAATCGACTATGGTGATGTGTGTTATTTCGACCTGAATGCAGATCTTCTCAACAAATATGACCGTCTTCTGAATAACTGCATTCGATTCATTTTCAATCTTCGAAAGTATGACCATATATCCACGTATCGATCTCAATTAAAATGGTTACCTATTCGTCAACGCCGTAGTTTGCGTGCACTCACCACCCTTTATTCTATCCTGATGTCTCCAACTTCCCCTTCCTACTTATCTCCTCACTTTCAGTTGCTTAGTGCTAGTCATGAGAGAAACCTCCGCTCTACGAACAACCTTCTTCTCCTATGTCCATCCCATAGCTCTGGGCTTGTTCATTCTTCTTTCCACATTCAATCTATTCTCCTTTGGAACGCACTCCCTCTCGAAATCAGGACGGCTAGCAATCGGTACGCGTTCAAGATGAAGGTTCGGGAACACTTACTTAATAAATTGGCAGAATCATCATCCTCATCATTGGCAGAACCAGCGTCCTCATACGGCCAGCAGTGAAGGACCACGTCTCTGATCCGTAAGTCATCACTGGCAACACGCACTGGTTGTACATGTGTATGTGTATGTATATGTGTGTATGTATGTATATATATGTATATATATATGTATGTTTATATGTGTATATATATACTTATTGTTCTTATTGTAATTATGTATATTATATATTTTATATACATATATGTGTATGAATATTAATGTAATTTTATCTATTTTTTGCGATGTACCATTTATATCTTATGTATTTTATTTCCATGTATTACAATTTTTTTTGTTATTTTATTTTAGTATTCGCATATTAACTTTTTATTACACCTACTTCATTCTATCTCTGCATCATCCCAAGGTAGACTGGGAGAGAATGCCTTAGGCATTAAGTCCGCCTATATACCACTTGTGTATATTAAGTTTTAAATAAATAAATAAATAAATAAATTTGGATTTTTTTTTCTATCCATAAAATTTTACGGAATCTTGTTTTTGTCTAACATAGTACTTGACATTAATCCTCAACTTTTCTATATGTTTATTTCAAAATTAATGCTACAATATTTTCGGCATAACGGAGGATCTTGCTAATGCATTTGAGTTAGTATAGGCCCTTAAATCAAAACGATGCTATGAAACATCTAACTAGACGGCAATGATAAGGAAAACCTGGTAATATAATAATTGTATCGTGTTGAAAATGATCAGTTGAGTATCGCTTATCGGGGGCGCGGACGCGTTGGCAGCGCCATCTTGCGAATATGTCACGTAATCTATGACAAAAAAGGAAAGAGATCTTTTCACCGAGGTAAGTTTTGCGTTCAGTAAAATATATTTGAATATCAATTTTGATCGATTTGAAGTATAATGAATTAACAATTCAATATCATCGCGGCAAATAGTGAATCCTTTTCAAAAATAAAAATAAATGCTCCTTATTTTTTAAAATCTTGAAAAATATTATATATATATATATATATATATATATATATATATATATATTATTTTCAAAATTTAAAATAATATATATATTGCTTTGAAACAACTTAAAAGAAAGTTATTGGTTCGCCTTAACCTCGAATACCCTGAAGATGGAATGCCTCATGTTCTGTAAATAATCTTTATATTAATACATAAAAACGTTAAAATTACGTCAGTCCGAGGTTTCAAAAGAATCCTCGTTCTTTTTTCAAAAAGTTTCAATATTTTATTTTTTTCTTGAATTTATTTATTTAAAAAAAAACTGAATTACCACATATTCAACTAAGGTACTATAAATACATAATATATTACATTTACTACATTACATTATTAAATCGTTATATTAAATAAATATTATATGTATAGTGTATACGTTTAAATTGGTTTTAATGATCTAATATAATATAACTCCTACAAAGGGAGTAATTTAAAATGTACATTTTTTCTATAAATCTTTCCCCCCGGATTATCGTTACAATAGGATTTTCTCCTGCGTCGTAGAGGCAGTTTACATACATAAATTTCACAAGAACAAACATCCAGATCGGAAACAAATTTGTATGCCATACAAATAAATACTTGTTCTATGCGGTATTCGAGCCCACGGCCCCCAACACCGCTACTCATTATTAAGTTTAAGTTTCTTTTTTCTTAATTAGGTGTACTAGCTTTATTGTGAATTTTGATTTCTGAAACATAGGGCAAATGTAATAATCAATAAATACTACGTAAACAGATCTCGCCTTAAGTTTTTAATGGATCTTTGTTCAGGATCCCTTCACCGATAGAGCCGATTCCTTCATGCTGCATTTATGTTAAGGTGGCTACAAAAATTAAATGGCCTAATCACTAAAATAAATTAAATTTTTAATATACGCTTTTACATTCTTACACTGTCATCCGATTCTCTAGCTCATCGGGAAGTTAGTTTGAAATCGATTACTACATTCGACTCGAGTAGGCGTACGCGAAAGTGTATTAATAAAAACGTGGTAAACAAAGTGTAAAACAATCTAATATCACGAAACGTATAATTTTCAATAACGCAAAAAAGACAGTTAACTAATTTTCCACTCGCCAGATGTCGCTAGTTGACACTGAGGTGAAGTATTTTGTTACACAATTTCATTTAACCCTTCAAGCGCCATAAAAATCCCACGCAGTCGCATGCGCCCGGCAAATCCCGAGGGTTCGCATGCGTGCTTTTCTATGGATAAGTTTAGCATTATAAAATCTATACAAAATTCTCTATTCTATGGTCTAAACAAAAGTCAGGTTTTACTTCATTACATAAAGATTTTATTATATTTTGATAACAAAAAAAACATACCAAGCGAATGTCGGCAGTATGAAAATCACAACTATTTCAATATATATTACTCGAAATTATTTACGTAAAAAGATAAATTATATTCACACAAAAACTTTCATTACAATATTGTTTTATTACAAAAGTGTAATGAAAGTTTTTGTACACACTACACTTAAACACTAATAAAACACTAGAAAAATCCAAAAATCAACACAATAATATTCAAGCGAAAATGGCGTACGAAATAAATGTAGATTATAAATAGATATTCATAGGATAACAGCTTTTTATTAGGATAGAGTATTTCATATTCATTACATAATGCCAAACTTCTTCATAGAAAAATAGTCTTTAAATAAGTTTTTATGTGTTAAAATGCAGTGGGTGGACGCGACCTCATTGGGCCGCTAGGGATTTGACGGAATATGGCTGTGGTCTCATGAGACCGCTAGGGGGTTGAGAGATTAATTACGAAGTTACTTTTAAATAAAAGCTCATTAGTTAACAGAGTATTATATTAATAGACAAAGCAGTGCCTCGGTGATTTGGTCCTTAATTTTTTTACACATTTTTAACTCTCTTTTAATTTTTTGTACTTATGATTATATATATGTATATATATATATATATATATATATATATATATATATATATATATATATATTGATGATAGTTATAAATATATATGTGGTGTGGTTTATTAATTACTAAAATATAACTTATCGTACTGAAGAAACAAGAAACATTATTTTCCCAACAAATTAACTTCCCTGCTATGATATCTGTCAAATATTACACCTAAACACATTTTCAAGTGGCGCCGCCCTGGTGGCAGAAAAAGTCGTGTATGTTCTCATTAACTTGCTATGTTAATAATTTCATAACATCAATCAGTCAATAACTTAAAAACACGACTGCAATGACTACTATTTAGCATTATCTTCGGTACCATTTCTATAAGGAAATTCATGAAGACTTATGCAAATAAAAACACTCGGATTTTTTTTATAGAATAGGGTGTCAAACGAGCACTCAGTCATCTCATTCATAGGATGCTGTGGCCAATAGACATTTACATTTATCTTCCATTAAGAATCAAAATTGAGAAACGTTGTCACCCCTGAGGACTGAGATGGAATGACTCATTTCCAGTAAAAAGGGCCTCTGGTTCCTGTAATTATTTCTTAATAATAGCTGCGGATTTTTATATTACTCATAAAAGGAATAACTAATAGATATAAATAAAACCAATTGTAAGCTTTATAAAAAGTATTTTTAATATAACGTCTATCTATTCATTACAAGAACCAAATATATGTGTAAGATATACTTCAATTAGAAAGTCACATAACAGCTTTTATACATCCCACTGTTGGGCACATGCATCTTCATATTTTCGACAGGATTTTTTTGAACATGTCAGAAATCGCGACGTTGACTCTACCAAATTAGAATCATAGACAACACAGTAGGTCGTGTTGTCTATGATAGTCTGTCATTTGGTAGAGTAAATTATACATATTTAATGGCTCTGGAAAATTAGATTTAACATTTTACATTTTTTTGATGTGGAGAAATCTGAGCTTCATTTCTCAGCTATGACTAACCACACCCACTATACTACATATTCAACATTTTACGGGTGGCAAAAGGTATTACTTACATTTACGTTAGTACTCTTATTATAGTTCGGCCGTTCAGAGAATGCGTTCCTAACACCTATCAGTTAGTCACGACTAGTGATGGGCACAACATAACACTGAGTTCGTTACCGTTCCTCCAAAATGAACCGCCGCGTTATTTTTAAGATTATTTTCGTTTTAAATTGGCGGAATCATTTAAAATTTATATTTTAGTAATTTAAGTGGAAACCAAAAAAAGGTAATATTAATATAATAAAATTGTTTTATTTATTCTTTGTTACAAAGTTACAATCTGTATGTCTCTGCAATAAAGTACATTGAAATGAATGTGCGTACAGAATATTAATCAGACTCCGATTCGCTTGAGGAGGTGGTGTCTTCATCACCATCTTCGGCTACATGTATAATTATATTATTATCAATAACAGAATCAATCCTGATATCTCGGTCAAAATGTTCCAACAATCAGGTTTTTAGTCTTCTCAACAAACTTTGCCCAGTCATCTCTTGTGACTTCCCCCGCGTGCTTCTTTTAATAGGGTCATCATCTTTTTCGTGCTGAATGACGGGGAAGTATTGTGGCGGGCGGCCAGGGATTGAATAACCGAAAAAATTATTGTACAAACGATAAGCGGTATGACGTCATACCTTTAAATTTCGATACCTTAAAATAAAGGTACCTTTAAATTATACTATACCTTAAAGTAACTGTACCATTACTTTTTCAAGTATCTAAATTATAAAATAAAGGTATAAAGTATAAACAAAGAAATTGTACGCCGTCGCTCGCGCCGAGGCTTCACGCAGTGTCGGCCGCATTGGTAAGAGAGTAGGTACTTGATCGAAAATTTACGGATATTCGTGTCTCGGCAGCTAAACAAAGTAGATTGTTTTGCCATTTTGCCGCCATTCATGTTTCCGCGTATACTTTGATTGTCAACTTAATCACAAGTGTGCTTTTTTTTAAATTTATTTTATGTACACGCATTAAGATACAGAAGGTTACGCCGCCCGGGGCGGCGTAACCTTTTATTTGAGATCCAAGAAAATGCCAAGCTATAGTCTTAGGCAGTGCACGTCAATTTGGTAAAACTTAGTCATACATCGTTCGATCCTCTGATCTATAATGGCGAGGTAATTCCTTACAGCTCTCATGTTAGGGACTTGGGATTAACCTTGGATTGTTCACTTACTTGGCGCAGTCATGTTGAGGAAGTTAGCCGTAAAGTTTGTACTACTTTGAGACAATTGTACAGATATAAAAATATCTTACCGCCTTGTACGAAAAAAATTCTAATTCAATCGCTAATTCTTCCTATGTTTGATTATGCTGATGTGTGTTACTTAGATGCAGACAAATACTTGGTCAATAAATTGGATCGGCTTCTCAACAACTGTATCCATTTCATTTACGGTCTTCGAAAGTATGACCACATCTCTTTCTATCGCTCTCAACTTAAATGGTTAAATATCCCACAACGCAGGAGCCTTAGAATTCTTAGCACTCTGTTCACTATTCTTAACGATCCATTGGCCCCAGAGTATTTGAAATGTAAGTTTCAATACCTGGGTTCTTCCCATGATTGCAATCTTCGCTCTCGTAACAATCTCGTGCTCTATACTCCCTCTCACCGTACTGGTTTCCTCTCAAACTCTTTCGCTGTTACAGCTGTACGACTCGGGAATGTGCTTCCCCTAGCAATAAGAAAATCCCCCAACAAATGGATTTTTAAAACAAAGGTAAAGGAACATTATTTGGGTTCATCTGACACAAAAATATATAAATAATCTATAACATTTAATCTATTAGATCCTTATATATATTTAATTAAGTTTGAGCTATGAGTATGTATGTGTGTGGTGTGTGTGTGT